TCTTGCCGTGCGCCATGCACCTGACGTACACCTGTTTTCTCTGGTGTACGTCAGATTTAGATGACAGACAGGTCCAGTATGGAGATGCCTTGTAGCCGGAGTGTATTCCAGATGGAGCAGAAGAGCAAGCGGGAGCTTAGACATTTTTTCTGTAGTTGTTGAGGGATATTAGATTATTTATGCAGTATTTCTCTTTTAGTATTTTGAGAGATTTAGTTATTTTTATAGTACTTTCCTTTTATTATGGACTATGTATTTCTTATTTCCTAGTTGAACTGTTGTTGTAATAAGGGTATGTGTGACCCATATTTTATGTCTGGGATGATTTACCATTGATGATATGTCTATTTTTATTCCGGGTTGTCTTTATACTCTTGCTATGTGTGATCGGGGACATGTGACTTCGTATTATATTGTTTCTAGACGCTTAGCGTATTGGATTGAGAAGAAAAGAAAGAGATAGTGTATATTTCTTCTCAATCTAATACGTCGCGGGCTTGTTCACGTTCCGATTCCCGGGTATTTTGGGAAGCGGGGCGTGACAATATTTTTATCTATGAAGAACATTTCTAATGAACGTTATCTTCTTGCATCTTCTAATGATTCTATTTTATGGAATAAATATTTTGGTTATGTGACTTTAAACATATTTCTAAAATTTCTAAGAATGATTCTGTTAAAGGTTTACCTAAGCTTTCTTATAAAGATAATTTTTGTGATGCATGTCAACAAGGAAAAATACATAAATTATCTTTCAAATCTAAAGATGTAATTTCTGTTGACCCTATAGTTTTGATGATGATTTGACAAACAATTTATTACTAATAAGTTTTTCTAGTGTTTTGTGTTTATGTTTTTTTTTTCAGGTATTTCAACACGCGTCAATAAAGCGTTAAAGATTCAAGTTCATCTGCGTGGATTTACCTAGGTATTTGTTTAGTTTACTTACATATATTGTATGATGATATCTAAGCTCAATATATATACACTTAACACGATCTTTGACGTTTTCTATCATATAGATGATTTTTCATTAAACGTTGATAAAATATCTTTATCTCTTGTTTACATCTCTCTCATACTTTATTATATACATATAATATATGCACAATATATATATGAATATTTACAAGTCCTATATCAAACTTTCACTTTCATAAAAATACAGGTTTTCAAAGCATTTTTCAAAAATAGGTAGTTTTCACAAAGGAAATTTGTTTTTCCAAAAATTCCTTTTCAAACATGTTCATTTCATCATTTATAAACTTTCCCCAAAGTTTCACTATTTTTGGATATGAATTGATATTTTTAACGAATTTTCAAAACTGCCCAAAACCTAGAGAAAGTTTTCTACAACAAGAAGAGGCTCTCATATTCCATTGGGATCATATTCTTCAGCTCCTCTTGTTCATTGAGAAGTTTTTCTAAACTCTTTCCATATAGCTTATTATCTCACTTTCAATTGATTAGCTATATTCATTAAGTTATTTATTGGTTTTGATTCACTATTATCACACACACTTATTGAGCTTTATATTCTCATATTATATTGTGGGTTGTGGTGTGGGATTTAGTGAGTGTGAGCTTCATTGTGTTCTCACTTGTTAATTGAGAACAAATCATTGTATTTAACTTTTATTTGTGAGAATCACTTGTAATACACTTGTACACCGAGAGAAGTGTGAGGAGAGAGAGACGGGGTCAAATCCAATAGGAGTGGCGTCGATTGACGAACCTAGGGAGAGGTTGTAATCGAGCACTTGAGGAGGAGGACACGGGCTAGATTCCTACACTTAGTGTGTAAAGTGTGATTGTTGAGTGATTGTGTAGTGTGAGAGTTTTCGGTGAACTTGTAAACCGAGTGTGTAGAAGTTCCGGCTTCCAAACCGGATTGTGATAGTGGATATCTCCTCGAGGTGAGGAGCGGGGACGTAGGTCGTGGGGACCGAACCTCGTAAACATATCGTGTGTTTGTGTTTTGCTTGTCTCATATTTTATTTGTGCATATTCTTATTGTTCTTATTGTCCATATCTATCTCTTGCAAGAACATATTGATCAACATAATTTTAATTGCTATTATTTGGTATTAGATTAGCACAAGACCCTAATCACCCCCCCTCTAGGGTCCAGCAATTGGTATCAAAGCCTGGTGCTCTTTGATTTAAGGACTAACCGCCTTGAGTTAAAGATCCAAGTTATCTTATTAGTGCTAATCTAATTTTGATTATTGTGCCTCTTGCATTTTATCTCTATGGATATGAATGATTCATCTTGCTTAGGATATGCTATTAATATTGCTCCTCGTTTGGATATTTTTCCCTATGCTCAATGGCGTATTAGATTTAAACTTTTCGTTCAATCTAATCAATTTGATCTATGAAAAATTATTGAGGATGCTTATGTTGTTCCTATTTTGGAAAAATCAAAATGGTGTGACAATGACAAAAGATTGTTTAACATGAATAAGCTTTTGTTAGGATATTTGATTAGCGCTTTTCACTCATCATTTTCTAACAAACTTGCCAATTTTGATAGTGCTTATGCTTTATGGAAACTTATTGAAGCACATGAAGGAAAATTGGAGGCTATTCAAGAGGCGTTGGAAAATCCCGCTTTGAGCTCTAAGGAAGCCTCATCCCCATGTACAATACCACTAGGTAATAACCCTAGTGAGGTATGCGATAACGATGATACTATTACTTTTGATGAACTTGCTCTTGAGTTTGAAAAATTACACAATAGCTATATTGATGTAAAAAGTAAGTATGTTAATATAAAATCTATTCATGAAACACTAGCTACTAAGTTTAATTTTATTGCAAATGAAAATATAATTCTTAAAGAATGCAATGAAAATTTGAAAATTGAAAATGCTAGTTTGCTTCATGAAAAACGTGATGCTATGTTAGAAGTAGATAAGTTAAAATCTATGATGAGTAATCTTGTTTATCCTACTTCTAGTAGCAATACTTGTATGCACAATGATGAGTTGAATCAAATGAGAAAAAGAATATCTACCTTAGATTCAACACTTGTATTGCTAATAATAAAAAACTTATGGACTTATGTACAAAGGTTAATGTTAATTCTTCCAAGAAACCTATTCACTATGCACATATGTATGACAAAATTCACAAATGTTCTATTTGCGGTCTTAAATGCTATTTAGCTCAATTTTGTCATAATGCACCAAAAATTGACAAGCCTATACATGAGTGTGCATCCCATCAAGCTTCATCATCACATACACATGTACACACACATAGTGTAAATCATAAACATGCTCATGTGTATAAATGTGATTATTGTGGTCGTTTTGGTCATTTGGCCATGTTTTGTTTCGATTTGAAAAGAAATTCTCGTTTGCAAAATAATTACAAAGGAAAATCTATTTTTGCAAATGAACCACGTACATTCTATTTTGGTCAACGCAAACCATTCAAACCTCTACATTAATCGTATTGGTGCACAAAATACGCCCAAACGGGTTCATAACCCTAGGACCTTGGATTTAAATGATAGGGCTCATGTCCCAAGTTCTAGTGATACCAAAATGATTTGGGTACCAAAGAGACTTATATAGTATTTTTTAATGATTTGTTTTGTTTTTGTTTTGAATAATTTTTTTTTGGCTTTGAATGAAAAATTATATTCCTAATGTTAAAAATAAATTATTTGTATGTTTTTATAATTAAAAACACTTATATATACCTTATAAAACCTTTAATATTTTATAAAACATATTTCTAAAAGGTCTATATTGTAAAAACTCTCAAAACATATTTCCAAAATCTCCTTTGCTGCACATTCTCTCGCGGTCGACCGACCCGGTCGACCGACGATTATCTGTAAGCATTCCGGTCGACCGCGTCGGTCGACCGAAATTATATTCCTACAGCAGCGAGGTTTTCTTTTTACTGGGTTTCGGTTTTTATTTGGTCTCTGTTTTAGACCCGAACTGCTCATCACCGCCCATCCCTTCGTGGATCAATCCCAACCGTTCCCTCTTCATCTCCTTGACCCGACCCTTCTCCTTCTCCTCATTTCGTCATTTTTCCCAAATTTGCGAAAACTCTTCACGGTCGCCTGGCTTCATCGACCGGAATTTTATTTCTTCATCATTTTCTGACAGTTTTTGCTAGGTAATGTTTTTGTTCTAGGGCTATTTGTTAATTTGCTCTATATTGGTTTTTGTTTACAGGATATTGAAAAATTTCTCTAATCTTTTTAAAACCCTAACTCATCATGCCTCCCAAGCCCTCTAAAAAGAGGTCTAAACCCGAATCTAGTTCCTCTTCTGTAAAAGCCTCACATTATGAGGATTATCTGTTGTTTAAACCTCTTGTTAGGAAATATAGGGAACTGTGTAAACTGAAGATTCTCCCAACTAGGTATATCAAGTATCCTGAACTAGTCATATACAACACTCAGTCTATTCTTCATAATGTTGGGTTGGATAAATTGCTTGATGAAAGTCACTAATCTTTTCAAACCCCTAACTTATCATGCCTCCCAAGCCACCCAAAAAGAGGTCTAAACCCGAATCTAGTTCCTCCTCTGTAAAAGCCTCACATTATGAGGATTATCTGTTGTTTAAACCTCTTGTTAGGAAATATAGGGAACTGTGTAAACTGAAGATTCTCCCAACTAGGTATATCAAGTATCCTGAACTGGTCATCTATAACACTCAGTCTATTCTTCATAATGTTGGGTTGGATAAATTGCTTGATGAAAGTCATAAAGTTCCTTATTATCCATTTCTTGTTTATCTGTTTTATGCTAACATGTCCACATCATCCTCTGCTGATGGCAGCTTGACCATTTCCTCTTCTGTTAAAAATGTGGCAATAGCTTTTACTGCCAACGAACTTGCGGGGATTCTTCAAATCCCAACAAGTGACGTTGAACTTAGGTCTATTGAGCTTAGTGATCCTTCAGTCAATCATCAAATGTTTTCACCTGGATGCTCATATCCTATGAACAATAATTCCCTTAATCCCATTGCCAAACTAATTGCTAGAATTATTGCTCATAATTTGATTCCCAAGACTGGGAGTTTTGATCACTTCGCCTCTGACAAGATTAATGCTGTTTATGCCATCTTTGCTAAAATCAAAGTTGATTGGGCTACTATCTTTATCAATAACATGGCATCTAAACATACCAAGTTTCTACCGTTTGGTTCCTTCTTCACTCTCATCTTTCAACATTTCAATGTTGACCTCACTAATGAACCTAAGGTTGAATCCACAAGAGATTTCTTTGATAAAGTTTCCCTTTCCAGAATGCAAATATCTCTTGACTCCACACCATCTTCTCACTCCCGTTCTAGAGCCTCGACCTCTTCCACTTCTTCCACTTCTGAGATTTGTGACCGTCTTGATCGCCTTGAGACTCGTGTCACATCTATTCAGAAGGATGTTAGGACTATTCTTTCATACCAGCGTCAGTCTCTCGGGATCCCTTCTAATTCTGAGTCTGATTCTGGTGAGGATTCTGCTGATGGCTCAGATGGTGATGGTGATGGTGGTGGTGATGATGGTGGAGATGGTGATAGTGATGATGTTGGAGGAGGTGATGACTGATTGAGTCTCTTCCTGTGATGTTTTTATGCTTTCTTCTGGGTTGTAAAAACTTGATAACTCTGTTTTTATTTGAGTGTAATAACTCTATGATGCTTTGTGGAACAACTATGTATGGTTTTGTGTGACGTTTTATGTATGACTTGCTATCTCGTGAACAAACCTATATTTATGCAAAAATATGTTGCTTCTAATGCCTATATGATGTTCTTTGTGGCTTATTATGTTCAGGTTATTTCTTTTATGAATCAATGCCTATATAGAATAACTCTCATGTTTTTGGTGTGTAGCAAATAGTTGCTTATCATAAGTTGCCTATATGATGTTTAAGTTTTGTATTTTCATGCACATCTATGATGCCTAAATGATGATTTGTAAATTGCTTATGCTAGTTTATCATTTCATGATCAATGCATGGTTAAGACAATAACCATGTTTTGTTTCTTGCATATTTTTTATTATGCATAAGTTTGATGGATAGTTGTCGGTTTAGCTCCTGTATATATGCTCTATTGATGTCATTCAGTCTATTTGACAGGGGGAGCCTTTTCTTTATAAGCTCAATATATATACACTTAACATGATTTTTGACGTTTTCTATCATATAGATGATTTTTCATTAAACGTTGATAAAATATCTTTATCTCTTGTTTACATCTCTCTCATACTTTATTATATACATATAATATATGCACAATATATATATATGAATATTTACAAGTCCTATATCATCTTTCACTTTCATAAAAATACAGGTTTTCTAAGCATTTTTCAAAAACAGGTAGTTTTCACAAATGAAATTTGTTTTTCCAAAAATTCCTTTTCAAACATGTTCATTTCATCATTTATAAACTTTCCCCAAAGTTTCACTATTTTTGGATATGAATTGATATTTTTAACGAATTTTCAAAACTGCCCAAAACCTGTCATTTTACCTATATCAGTTTTCGGTCGACCGATACGGTCGACCGACGGTTGTCTGGTTTCTGAGAAATTTTCTTGTGTTTTTCCGGTCGACCGGAATTTCCGTCGGTCGACCGAAATTTCTTTCCGGTCGACCGAAATTTACGTCGGTCGACCGCCAGCTTTAAAACATTGTTTTCCCAGGTTTTTGAACTAATCGGTCGACCGTACCGGTCGACCGACGAGTTGACAAACTGAGCCTAACGGCTAGTTTTTCAAATGGGCTTTTTGGTCTTTCACCTATTTCTAGCTGTTGTATTGGGTGCTATATATACCCTATTGCTGCTCTTCTTCTCCATCAATCAAGAAATCCAAGTTTACTGTTTAGCAAGATATTAATCACGTTTAAGAGCTGTTTAAGAAGTGTTTCGTTAATCTGTTTTCAAGAGAAAGTTTTCTACAACAAGAAGAGGCTCTCATATTCCATTGGGATCATATTCTTCAGCTCCTCTTGTTTATTGAGAAGTTTTTCTAAACTCTTTCCATATAGCTTATTATCTCACTTTCAATTGATTAGCTATATTCATTAAGTTATTTATTGAGTTTGATTCACTATTATCACACACACTTATTGAGCTTGATATTTCCATATTACATATTGTGGGTTGTGATGTGTGATTTAGTGAGTGTGAGCTTTATTATGTTCTCACTTGTTAATTGAGAACAAATCATTGTATTTAACTTTTGTTTGTGAGAATCACTTGTAATACACTTGTACACCGAGAGAAGTGTGAGGAGAGAGAGACGGGGTCAAATCCAATAGGAGTGGCGTCGATTGACGAACCTAGGGAGAGGTTGTAATCGAGCACTTGAGGAGGAGGACACGGGCTAGATTCCTACACTTAGTGTGTAAAGTGTGATTGTTGAGTGATTGTGTAGTGTGAGAGTTTTCGGTGAACTTGTAAACCGAGTGTGCAGAAGTTCTGGCTTCCAAACCGGATTGTGATAGTGGATAACTCCTCGAGGTGAGGAGCGAGGACGTAGGTCGTGGGGACCGAACCTCGTAAACATATCGTGTGTTTGTGTTTTGCTTGTCTCATATTTTATTTGTGCGTATTCTTATTGTTCTTATTGTCCATATCTATCTCTTGCAAGAACATATTGATCAACATAATTTTAATTGCTATTATTTGGTATTAGATTAGCACAAGACCCTAATCACCCCCCCTCTAGGGTCCAACAATTTCTACAAGTAAATCACTAGAATTGATTCATATTGATCTTTTTGGTCCTTCTAGAGTAGCATCATTAAATGGAAGCAGATATGCATTTGTACTTGTTGATGATTTTTCAAGATTTACATGGGTAATATTTTTTAAATATAAAAATGATGCTTTTAATGAATTTTCTATTTTTTGCAAAAGGATTCAAAAACAAAAGTCTCTTTCTATTATTACTATAAGTAGTTATCATGGAGGAGAATTTGAGAATGAACATTTTGCAAATTTTTGTGAGAAAAATGGTATTTCTTATACTTTTTATTTTCCTCGAGCGGCTCCACAAAATAGAGTTGTAGAAAAGAAGAATAGAACTTTACAAGAATGTGGTAGAACCATGTTGTGTGATAGTAACCTACCAAAGTACTTTTGGGTGGAAGCTTGTCTCTACAACATGTTATGTTCTAAACAGAATATTATTAAGACTTATTTTAAAGAAAATACCTTATGAGTTGTTTTATGATAAAATTCCTAAAGTTTCTTATTTTAAAGTTTTTGATTGTAAATGCTTTATTTTAAACACAAAAGATAACTTGGACAAATTTGATTCTAAATCCGACGAATGAATTTTTGTTGGATATTCTAATCATAGTAAAGCTTATAGAATATATAACAAAAGAAAAATAGTCATTGAAGAATCTATGTATGTTTCTTTTGATGAAAGTTTTACAAAAACACCTATTTTTTTAAATAATGATGAAGATTTAGTTGATTCTATTCATGATACTCCAATGCTAGATATTTCAAAAGATGATAATTTACAAAATGATTTACCAAAGGATTTTGTAGAAGTTAGAAATCATCCACATGATTTGGTTATTGGTAATATTTCTGATAAATTTACTACTAGATCTCATTTTAATTTGATTGCTCATGTTGTTTTTATTTCTATTATTGAACCTAAAAATATAAAAAAAGTTTTACTTGATAATTTTTGGATAATTGCTATGCAAGATGAACTAAACTAATTTATAAGAAATAATATTGGGATCTTGTACCTAGCCCACAAGATAAGTCTATTATTAGAACCAAATGGATATTTAGAAATAAATTAGATGAATCTGGACAAGTTGTTAGAAACAAAGCCAGATTAGTTGTACAAGGATATAATCAAGAAGAAGGTATTGATTATGACGAAACCTATGCACCAGTTGCTCGTTTAGAATCTATAAGAATTTTACTTGCATTTGCATATTTTATAAATTTTAAATTATATCAAATAGATGTTAAAAGTATATTTTTAAATTGTTTTATTAAAGAAAAAGTTTTTGTAGAACAACCTCTAGGTTTTGAAAATGAAAGTTTTTCAAACATAAGAAAGCATTATATGGTCTAAAACAATCACCCCGTGCTTGGTATGATAGATTAAAGAATTTTCTTTTAACTTCTTGTTTTGAAATTATAAAAGTTGATTCTACACTTTATATAAAAAAAATAAATAAAGATATACTATTAATTTAAATATATGTAGATGATATAATATTTGGTTCTACTAACAATGATCTTTGTCAAGAGTTTGCTAAGGCTACGCAGGATGAATTTGAAATGAGTCACATGGGTGAACTAAATTTCTTCCTTAGACTACAAATCAAATAATTAAAGGAAGGAATTTTCATCAACCAAAGCAAGTATGCTAAAGAATTACTCAAACGCTTTGGAATGAAAAATACAACAAGAAAACCAACACCAATGAGTACAACTAAATTACTTGATAAAGATAAAAATGATAAGAATGTTGATCAAAAGTTATACCGAGGTATGATTGGATCACTTCTTTACATTAAAGCAAGTAGACCTGATATTATGTTTAGTATATGTTTATGTGCTAGATTTCAATCTAATCCTAAAGAATCTCATCTTAAAGTAGTGAAAAGAATTTTTAGATATCTTAAAAATATTACAGATTGTGGTTTATTTTATCCTAAGAATAGCACATTTGACTTATTATCATATAGTGATGTTGATTTTGCCGGATGTAAATCCGATAGAAAAAGTGCAAGTGGTACATGTCATTTCCTTTGACATCTTAGTTTAGTAAAAGTAAAATTCAGTATCATTATCAACTACTGAAGCAGAATATATTACTGCTAGTCTTACATGTGCTCAAGTTTTATGGATAAAACAAACTTTATCTGATTATGGTATAGTTTGTCCCACATCATCAATAATGTGTGACAATACTAGTGCCATTAATTTATCTAAAAATACTATTCAACATTCATGTACAAAACATACTGACATAAGATATTATTTTTTACGTGATAAAGTACTAAAAGGTGTTATTTCTTTAGATTTTATTTCAACCGATAAACAAATTGCTGATATATTATCAAAACCTTTAAAAGAAGAAATATTGTTAAATTAAGAAGAGAATTAGGTATATGTTCTTTGGAAGATTTAAACTAAGTTTTAAAATCAATACATATGCAAATTCAGCCTTAATAGTTGACTAATCAAGTTAGTAGTCGACTACATGCACAAGCATTGCATATAAGATATTTTGTTGATTACAGTGTAGTCGACTAATTTGACCTGTAATCGACTATTCTGAGTTAAATCTGAAATCCAGAATTCTGTCGATTACAGTGTAGTCGACTAATTTGACCTGTAGTCGACTATTCTGAGTTAAATTTGAAATCTGGAATTCTGTTGATTATAGTGTAGTCGACTATTTTTCTTAGTAGTCGACTACATACACAGATTTTTCACATTTACAGTTTTTCAGCATTTTGGATTTTTTATCTATCAAATCCAAAACCCAATACTCATTCTACTTAAGTGAACTTCATCTCAACCACTCTTTTTTAACCTGATCAATCCTAACCCTATATCAAATTCTATTTAGATCAAATCTAAACCATACATTTGATTTTTTGATCTAATCTTTGACTATATGTTTTTAAGTTACAAAAACTACCCTAAATCCTAAACTACCCACTCTCTCACTTACCAAAACCGATCCCTCTTCTTCCCCACTTCAGAACCCACCGAATCCAGGTTAAGGCATCATATCAATCTTTCATTTTCTCCAAAAAATTTCCTCAAGTTCCTTGTTTTTCTTGAGTTTTTCAGTTCTTGTAGTCGACTACAACCAGTATTGGTCGACTACTACGTCTATTTCTAGGGTTCTCATCACCTTGGTAAGTTCTTCAACTTGATTTTTCCAAGTTCTTGTTTTTGAATTATCATCTCTAGAGCAAAGAAGGCTAAGTAAGTTCATACAAGTGTTAATGATGAAATCATTATCTATTTAAAAAGTCCTGATTTACTTGAAGACTTTAACAATATATCTAAATTTGAAGTTCTTCTAGGACGTTTTGTGAAATTTGATGATTTCATCCCTTAGAACTTTGGTTCATACTTTGAAAATGTGGGATTGCTCGAGTTATTTTCATCCGAAAATTAAAAACCCACTTATCCTTTTTTAGTTCAACTGTTCTTCACAAATATCACTCGTGTAGGAACTATTAGCTGAACTAAAAAATTAACTACACTTGTGAAAGGGAAAGAAATTGAATTGACTTCTTAGTCAATTGGAAAATTTTTTAACATTCCCTTCAAAGGTGTATCTCTTAGATCAATCAAAATGAATGATGAAAATTTGCTATCTAATCATATTTTTCTTCCGGGTTATGACAAACCTTTAAATAAATCAAATAAACTTCGTCCAATTCCTCGTTTCATTGCTCGAATCTTAGCCTATAATATGTTTCTAAAAACTGGGAGTTTTCATTTTATTTTCCTAGATTTAGCAAAAGTCTTATATGCTATAATGGGAAATATCCAAGGTAATTAGGCTGAAGTTTATTATGACAATCTTTTGACTATACCAAAAGGATTTCTTCCTTATGGTGCATTTTTAATAAAGGTCTTTGATAAATTTCATGTCGATATTGTTGGACCCTAGAGGAGGGGTGATTAGGGTCTTAAGGCAATAATTGTGCAATAAAAATGAGACAAACAATACACCACAAAATGAATAACCAAAGTAAATGAGATAAGGTTAGAAATCGTTATCCAAGCGACGCACGATGTGTTAACGAGGTTCGGTCCGCTGACCTACGTCCCCGCTCCCCACTCTCGAGGAGAATCCACTACACAACTCGGTTTGGAAATCGGAACTTCTTCTACACAACGATCTCCACAAGATCTCACTACCACACAGTTAATCTCCACAAGATCTCACTACCACACAGTTAATCTCCACAAGATCATGCTCACAACAGTAGTAAATGATGTAAAATCTCTCTCTTTACAGTAACCCTATGGCAAGGAGAGAGATCATACTTGAAGCTTGGGATGTGAACTTAAAAACAGAGAAAAATAGGATTGAAAGTTTAAGGCTCTTTTGAAAACAGTAAAACAAGACAACGAGATTTTTTCAATAGACAAGAGCACTTAAGAGAAGAGGGGTAGAATGGTTTATATAGGAAAAAGAACAGCTGCAAAAACCCATACCCAAATCCCCCAAAATCCCGTAAAAATGATTTTCTGAAACTCTACCGAAAATGTCCGTTGGGGTGAACGGTGGTCGACTATGGGAATTTCACGGTCGACTGTACGAAACTACAGAAACTTGACCGTGGCGGTCGACCGCGAAACTCTCTGGACTTCATCCGGTCGACCGTCACGATCGACCGCGAGCCTCTGAAGAGCATACTGAGTCTCTGGACTACATCCAGTCGATCGTCATGGTCGACTGTGAGCCTCAGAAAAATATTCTAAGTCTCTGGACTCAAGGCGGTCGACCGTGACGGTCGACCGCAAACTGATACTTGACAAAACAGTTGTTAAAACAGTTTTTGATTTTTTTAAAAAATCTGTAAAAATACTCAATTGATTTCTAAACATTGTGAAACTTTGTAAAATATTTTTAATACTAAAAACAAACTGTTTAGAAAAGAAATTTTGCGAATAGGTCCTTATACTTGTGAAAAACAATATTTTGACAAAAACGCTCAAAAGTATAAGTATGAAAACGTGTGTGTGATATCCTAATAGTTTCAAATGAAATCTACAACTACTTACCTATATTCTAGCACTAGAGAGAAAAGAAAAAAACTAGCAAATATCCTCACATAGAATTACATGTCTTTGAGTCTTGATATTGCTTAAAGTTGATGAAGCTTTCACTTGTATATGTTGTTCTTGATTAACACATGCTTCATCACATTGTCTCCTCCTCCTTTAGATATCTTCGTTATAGCTCATATTCCATCCAATCCTCCGTAAGTGGTACTAACAAGCTTGATATATATATATGAACTATAATATCACTCAACAAGCAATTAGTACCGATAATGGTGGTTGTAAATCATCAGCAAAACATAAGGGCTAACAGATATTGAGTCAGAAAATTCTGTAGTTCGTTCAATTGAGTTCTTTGACTCTAATGCCCTAACTAGGATGATGTTAACTAATTTTGAACTTCATGGTTAAAATCCTCAAGATGAGCATCACCCTCCTCAAGAACAAATTCCAAAATATTCCATGATTTTCAAGTCATGCAGGCCCTTCCTCTAGCCAACAACCACCTCAAATGCAATCAGAACCTTCCTCTAGCCAACAACCACCTCAAATGTAATCAGAACCTTCCTGCTTCTCGGATGTGTAATATAACATATTGTCTGCATGCATCCTTGAGTTAGAGACTGGTCAGCGAGCCCTTTATGCTCAGAACACTTACATCATTAGTAATCAGGAGGATTTAATCAAGAAATTTGATAATTTAGATATGAAGCTCAATGCATTTTTCCAAGGACATCCACCTCCTCCAGGACCTTCATGTTAGAGAACCATGCATGCATCATGTAGTGTTTTGGCTTAGTTTCATTATGTTCTTCAAGACCCCAAAATTGAAGGTACTGAATTAGCCCAGCTCCATGTTCATGATTGTTGTAGCAATCAGTTTATCATATTAGAAGCAAACTTTTTTCAGACAGCATATCCTTATTCAATTCTATTCCGAAGAACAAATAGGCAAACTTCATATCTATCAACCGAATATTGGTGAAATGCTAAAGTAAAATTTACTTGGCAAAATTAAAGAAAGGAGATCGAGGAGAGAGATGAGACTAGCTTGCCAAACTTTTTTACCTTCTGATCCTTTAATCACCACTTAGGTGTTAACCGATGAGAGTAGACATCAAAATAAAGATGGCTGCCTATTCTGGCAATAAATGGAAATTTTCTTTCTTAAAGTAAGATGTACAAAGAAACGTCAACTACCATTTTCTTCCAGCTGAGGAATCTTTCCAGCAATAGAGAAAAACAACATAGCTTTTCAACTACTCTTGGTTTAGGGGAATTTCTCAATTTAGCAATGTATACAATAAGAGAAAGAAAATAACCTTCATGTACAACTCGCATGATCACTATCCTGGGTGGTCTGATATAAAGCTATAGGGAACCTTTGAAAGCTCCCCCACCTTACCGAACCACGAAAAACATAAATATACAAAGTTATGTGAGTTAATTTTTGTAGGATTGTTGTAGGGATAATGATACATGATGTACCCAGGCTGAAAAAATATGTTTAATAGTTGAAAAGTTGAATATTAATGTTAAAAAGGATAAAGGAAAAAAACAGCGCGCTGTCACTTGTCGGATTCATACAAACCAGTGGTTGGTGTGTTAGTATATATATATATTAATATATATTAATTTTTTTAAAATATGTTATTACTTAAATCATTGTTAAACAGGGCTTACTTTGCAAAGTGTAAGCCTACGTAATTTCGAGCTAGGTACACAGTCCTTGTCACATTCGCGACGTACGGATCATTGAACATCAGAGGCGATCGATCGAGCTTCCGTGTACCCAACAGCAAAGACTTCGGTATCAATATCTGATATCTGATATTACGGTTTGAGTGACGAAACTAGTTTGTTAATAGAGGCTAAAACTCAGAAGAGACGTCGAAAACCCCGCAAACTAATCAACGGTGGCCTTCCTACAAAAGTACCAAACTCCTTGCGTTTTGCCCGCCCTTTGCAGAAACTACAGTATATATAAATGCAGCACTATTGCTAACTTCGTGCAGCTAGCAAACTTGCTCTTCACAGTAAATGAACACGATGCCATCGCTCTCGTTCGTCATCCTATCCTTCTTCTTCTTCCACTCTGCCACAACGACCGAGTCGTGATCTTCGACCGAACCGATTTCGGCCGATCAAACCTCTCTCTCCCTAAAGGCAACTGCCGCCACGACCCAAACGATCAAGCCCTAAAGGTCGACTGCACGGCTCACTCAATCGAATACAATGTTGGTACGAACACCTACCGACCTCTAACGATCCTCACCGACACTTGGTGCTCGTCAGGCACCGTCAACACAGACGGGTTCCTAATCCAAACCGGCGGATACAATGACGGTGACCGTGCCGTGCGTGTGCTCAGACCATGCGATGAGGAAGACGGAAAATGTGATTGGGACGAGATCAACCCCAGCCTCGCCGTCCGTCGGTGGTATGCTACGAACCAAATACTTCCCGATGGCCGAGCCATCATCATAGGTGGGCGAAGGCAGTTCAACTACGAGTTCTATCCAAAGTCGGACGGGTTGAGCTCCGGTCCGTTTGACCTTCCCCTTCTCCGACAAACACTGGATCGGGAGGAGAACAATATCTACCCGTTCGTTCATCTCAATGTCGACGGAAATCTCTTCATTTTTGCCAACAACCGTGCAATTCTCTTCGACTACACTAGGAATCTCGTGCTGAGGAACTATCCGGTGATGCCTGATGGTGATCCTCGGAACTATCCAAGCTCCGGATCGTCGGTCCTTCTTCCATTAGACCCTTCAGGGTTGGAAGCAGAAGTCATGATCTGCGGTGGAGCACCGAAAGGATCGTACCACAGCGCGCAAGTAAATAAAACCTACCTCGAAGCGTTAAAAACATGTGGTCGTATAAAAATCACCGACGAATCACCATCGTGGTCGATGGAGACGATGCCGATGGCTAGAGTAATGGGCGACATGGTTCTTCTCCCAACAGGGCAGGTTCTCATCATCAACGGTGCTGGTGCGGGGACCGCTGGTTGGGAAAACGGGCAGAATCCAGTCCTTAGTCCTGTAATATACACACCAAAAGCCAACGTCGGCCCCCGATTTCAAATCTTGCAGCCATCGAAAACCCCAAGGCTCTACCATTCATCTGCTGTTTTGCTTCGTGACGGTAGAATCCTTGTCGGTGGCAGCAATCCTCACGTTGGCTACGAATTCTCGGGGGTCGAGTACCCGACGGAGCTCAGCTTGGAAGCGTTCTTGCCGGACTACATGAATTCAGAGTATTCGAAATTTCGACCTAAAATTTTGTCATCGCCATCGGAATTGAGTCACGGGACCAAGTTTACGTTGCAGTTTGCCCTGGAGATTATGAGTCGAAGAGGAGTTTGGGTGACGATGATAGCGCCGGCGTTTTCGACACACTCGTTCTCTATGAATCAGAGATTGCTGCTTCTGGAGATATCGAAGGTCTCGACGACTGAGGGAACTGTTGAGTATGAAATTGAAGTGACTGCACCAGCCAATGGGTTCGTGGCGCCGTCGGGGTACTACATGGTTTTCGTCGTGAATGCTGGGATTCCAAGTGAAGGGATTTGGGTTCATATATAGTTCTACAGTGATTCCCAAGTGAAGGGATCTGAGTTCATATATAGTTTAAAATTGTAATTATATTCGTTGTTAATGTTGTAAAGATATCGACTGATAATATTAGATTACTCTGTAATATGCAATGAATGAATAGTGAAATTAAACAAATAATAGTTGTGCAGAGCATGTTGGGCTATGTCTAACTAGGGAACTCACCAGGTTGGCCTATATGAAGCTGCGCACGCAGCCATAGTTGTTTTATTGGGAAAGTGAAGAAGTGGCGAGAGAAGCAGCAGGAAGTTCAGGAGAATCGGCCAGGCAGACTGGCGGTCGACCGCAAGTCAGCGACGGTCGACCGTGAACGTGCACGAAGGCCAGTGGGATTCGGAGCTGAAGGCGGTCGACCGCAAGGACCAACCATGTAGGTGATTTTTGGTCTCGGGATGAGATTCGGTCGACCGCCGCGGTCGACCGCGTCATGACTGTAATCGATTCTGCTTTCAGGTTTTTTGTTCGGTCGACCGACACGATCGACCGTGATACCTGCGCGGTCGACCGCCGCGGTCGATCGCAGACTGATTTTGGGCTGGGCCTTGGTTTTTGACCCGGTTCGCTTCTAAGTTGATATATAACCATAAACCTAATTAATTAGGGTTAAACAAGGACGATTTTGAGCAGTCTTTTGGAGAGGATTACTGCATCCAATTGTGGGAGATTTGTGAGAGATCTAGAGTTTTTTTTAGGGTTTGATCGGTGAGATTTGTAACTCGATCTATTTGTATTCTCTTGATTTCTAATAGTAAGAACTCCCCCCCCCCTCTTTGCCCCGTGGACGTAGGCAACTTGCCGAACCACGTTAAACTCGTTGTCTTACTGTGGTATTGTGTTTGGCTTATTAGTTATGATTTATCTCTTGGATTATTCGTGTCGTTCCGAGAAGCTTCCGCCGCGCACAACAATTGGTATCAAAGCTTCAGACTCGTTCAAAGGATTCGGTGAAGATTCCTATCTGAAAAGTTAGATCGACAACATAGGAGATGCAAGTGCATCAGGTTCATCTCTTACGAAGGTGATATAGAGTCTGAGCATCAATAACACGAAGATTGATGTTCCGAAGTTCGACGGCAAGATCAATTTTGGATTGTGGAGGTGTGAGGTGATGGACGCCTTGGATGCTTAGAATTTGGAGGAGACTCTTGAGTCAAAAGAAAAACCCGCAGATATGGAGGATAAGGTTTGAAGGAAGATAAACAGTAGAACTTGTGGTGTTATTAGGTCATGCTTGACGTCGGATCTTATTTATGATGTTATGAACGAGACGTCGGCGAAGAAGATGTGGGAAACACTCAATGAGAAGTATCTTACGAAGAGCATTGAGAATCGGCTTCACGAAGAAGATGTGGGAAACACTCAATGAGAAGTATCTTACGAAGAGCATTGAGAATCGGCTTCACTTGAAAAAAAAGTTTTACCAGTTCAAGATGAAGAGGGGAGTTTCCATCAGTGAGCATGTCAACAATTTCACTAAGCTACTTTCAGATATGGCCAATATGAACATCATAGTTGAGGATGAAGACAATGTGATGTTACTTTTGTGTTCATTGCCCGAGGATGATTATGGTACGTTTGTTCTAAATATGATCAATAGAAAAACTACAGTTAGCAATAAGGAGGTGACCTCAGCCTTGGTAAATTATGAGTTGAGGAAGAGTGATGGTGAACCCTCCGAGAAGGCATCAGGAGATGCATTAGCTGTTCGAGGTCGTGATCCAAACCGCCGCTAGTTCAGCCGCTCAAAGACAAAGAATAAGAGTGTGTATAAGAGTGTTGGTAGAAATCAATGTCGGTATTATAAAGAAGAAGGACATTAGAAGATTGACTGCCCAATGTGAAAAAAAAGCCGGGAAGAACAAAGGGAAAGTTGCACAGGCTTCAGAAGTGAATGTTTCAAAAGCTATTGGTGAGCATTCAGATTCAGATTCTTCAGGCTACTCGTATCCTGCACTACCGTCGGTTTGCTATGCTGATTCCACAGAGTGGATGATGGATTCCGAAGCTACATATCACATATGCCCTAGGAGGGATTGGTTCTCTAGCTTTGAGGAGCTGGAAAGAGGGGATGTCGTGCTTATAGGCAATGACCACGTATGTCCTATTAGTGGTATTGGTTCAGTCCAGATTAGGATGCATGACGGAGTGATTAGGGAGCTGGAGGAAGTGAGGTTTGTGCCGTAGTTGACGAAGAACATCATTTCTCTTGGGACTTTGGAAGCAGCTGGATATAGAGTGATCTTAGAGGAGGTTACAGTGAAGGTCACGAAGGGTTCTATGGTGGTGTGCGAGGTGTCAGGAAAAATAACCTATACTACTTGAAGGGCAAGACAGTTACAGGAGGTCTGACAGCTTCTATCACTACAGAGAAGGAAACTACCACTTTATGGTACATGAGACTTAGACACACAGGAGATAAGTCCTTACAGTCATTGGCGAAACAGGGGCTATTGAAAGGTGCTAAAACCTACAAGATGGAGCTGTGTGAGCATTACGTACTCAGGAAGAAGACTAGAGTGAAGTTTGGCATCGCTATTCACAACACCCGAGGTACATTAGATTACATTCACACAAATGTTTAGGGCCCTTCCAAGAACACATCTCTTGGTGGGGCCAACTACTTTGTCACTTTCATTGATGACTATTCCAGAAGAAATTCGGTATACCCTATGAAGCATAAACATCAGGTCCTGGATATTTTTGTGGAGTGGAAAAAGAAAGTGGAGCTGCCCTATGAAGCATAAACATCAGGTCCTGGATATTTTTGTGGAGTGGAAAAAGAAAGTGGAGCTGCAGACGGGTAGAAAGGTAAAGACTCTACGTTCAAATAACGGTGGAGAGTACAAGAGTGATCCGTTTTTACAGTTTTGCTAGGATCACGGTATTAGAAGACACTTCACAGTTCGAGAGACACCGTAACAGAACAGGGTGGCTGAGAGATTGAACTGTACCTTGCTGGAGAAGGTGCAATGTATGATGATGCAGAGTGGATTGTTTAGATCCTTTTAGTCGCTTTGGATATTTGGGTGTCCAGCTTATTACCATGTCAGTGATGGTAAATTAAATCCGAGAGCGAGGAAAGTAGTCTTTGTGGGATTTAGAGATGGAGTCAAAGGATTTAAGTTATAGGATCCACAGGACAAGAAGATAGTTATTAGCAGAGATGTCACATTCGATGAGGCGTACATGATGAGGCCTCGAGTCCCTCAGTAGGTGGAGGGAGACCAGACAGTTGAGATATCACAGCAAGTGGAGGATGATATGACTCCACCCACTCTAGAGAGCATTGTATACATCAAGGCTCCTATAGAGGTGACACTGGGAGGAGATGAGATGACAACCAGGCAGATAGAGGATACAATGGATTATGGGACTTAGGAACAAGGTCATGTTCATGGGTCCATTGCAGCAGATAAACCGAGGAGAGTAATTCGTCGGCCAGCTAGGTATAATGATGTCATGGTCGCATATGCATTATCAGTGGAGGTCGTTGATATATGATTTCATCCATATTCAGGGAGGCAGAGTCTAGTCCCGATTCGATCAGGTGGAGTGAAGCTATGGAGGAGGAGATGCAGTCTCTTTAGAAGAATGACACTTGGACACTTGCACATCTACATAAGGGTAAGAAAGCTGTAGGTTGCAAGTGGGTATATGCGAAGAAGGAGGGATCTTCTATTGGGGACATTCGATTCAAAGCCAGATTGGTTGCAAAGGGGTATGCACAGCTTGAGGGCATTGATTACAATGAGGTATTTTCATCCGTTGTGAAGCATTCGTCGATACGGATTTTATTGGCATTAGTGGCACAGTTGGATTTGGATTTGGTCTATATGGATATAAAGACAGCCTTTCTACATGGTGATTTAGATGGGAAGATCTACATGACACAACACTTGGGATTGAAAGCTGCAGGAAAGGAAGATTTGGTTTGTAAGGTGAAGAAATCTCTTTATGGTTTGAAGCAATCGACGAGATAGTGGTATAAGAGATTCGACAGCTTTATGATTGGCCATGGGTACACGAGGAGCCCATATGACCCATGTGTTTATATGCACAAGCTACAGGATAGTGAGCACATATATTTGTTTTTATATGTTGACGATATGCTTATTGCTTTCAGGAATTCTTCGGCTATTCGAAAGTTAAAAGAGGAGCTGTCATCCGAGTTCGAGATGAAGGATCTTAGAGAGGCAAAGAAGATATTGGGTATGGAGATCGAGAGAGACAGGGTGAAAGGGAGTTTGAAACTTACACAGAAAAGCTACTTGCAGATGATGTTGAAGAAAATTCAGCTTTGATGGCAATGCAAAAGCAGTTAGCACACCATTGGCTCCCCACTTCAAGCTTTCAGTGTTGATGTCACCTGTTTTAGTTGAGGACAGAGATTATATGTCGAATGTCCCATATGCTAGTGCAGTAGATAGTTTGATGTATGCAATGGTGTGTACGAGGCCAGATTTATCTCAGGCCGTGAGCATGGTATCGAGATACATGTACGACCCCGGGAAGGGTCATTGGGAGGCCGTGAAGTGGATTCTACCGTATGTTCGAGGCACCGTGGATGTTGATTTAATATTCCAGAAGGATGAGATGAATGGATAGGATTGTATTGGATATGTGGATTCAGATTATGCTGGAGATCTTGACAAGTGTCGGTCTACTTCAAGTTATGCTTTTACATTAGCAGGTGCACCTGTATGCTGGCGATGTACACTTCAGACCACAGTGACTTTCTCTACTACAGAGGTAGAGTATATGGCGGTGACTGAAGCTGTGAAGGAGGCTTTGTGGTTGCGTGGATTATTAGAGGACTTGGGGATTGCATAGGAGACCATTCGGGTATATTGTGATAGCATGTCAGCTATCTATTTGGCGAAGAACCAGGTTTATCATGCGCACATGAAGCACATTGATGTCAGATTTCACTTTGTTCGTGACGTTTTGAATGATGGAGACGTCATATTGGAGAAGGTCCACACGAATGACAACCTTGCAGATATGCTGATCAAAGTTGTTTCAGGAGTGAAATTTGGTTATTGTTTGAAACTTTTGAACATTCTTCAGTGTTGAGACCTTTGGAGCCCATTTGGATGAACTA